ATTTCTCGGGCGAATTTTTATCATTACAAATTGATTTCTGATAGGAAATGTTTATTAGTGAAAGATCAGCCCAGTAGGTGGCAGTATTATGTGTCAGATTTTTATCTGCTGTTATAAAAAGTATAGAAGAAGAAACAAGAAGATACTAGAGGAAAAGGTACAGGAAAAGGTTTTGACAAGTTGCTTGTGGTTTAGATTTACATATATGACACACACACACTAGGAGGCGTCACATACCGTTTTCACGAGTTTATACATGAGCCCAGTGCATACACTTTTGTTCTTCGTTTCTTCACATTCTTTTGTTTCTTCACATTCAGAGGGGGATCAATTGCGCTTTCTTTTTTCGCAATTACTAAACTGACACATACTCATGTCGTCAGCATAGCGTAGCGTAGTAGTTTTTAAATATGGTCTTTTATTAATAATGTTATATTACAGTTTTTTTTAATGTATTCACCGCCATCGTCCACAACATCAGATCTTCTGCTTTTTCTTATGCTCTCACGCCTCAGATTAACCCAAACAAACAGACCTATACTAAAGTGTGCAGTGGACACGCACACTATAATAAGGATATTTCACCAACATACAGTAGAAGCAGTTCAGACAACAACACTTTCAACATCCCTATTTGTCAGACAAATTCGAAGGATTGACTTAATTACTGTTTGAGTCTCTGTTGCTGCTCCATGTCAGACAATCTGACAAAAGCTACAAACAAGAAGGGAAAGAATCCGCTTTTATGTCTATGGCGGTGGCGTAACCTGTTTACAGTAGAACTGAGCAACAGGAAAATGACTGCCACATTCATACTGTACATGTGCAGATAAATTAAAGATAAATACACAATGTGGGTAATCATAACCAGAGAGCAGACGTGTGTTTTTCCTAAGTGTACAACTTTAAATAACATCCAGTGTAGATCAGAGATTTTAAACACACAGTGGCAGAAAAATTAAACAACAAGGACAGGAAGGTTGTTTTAACCTCTGCTAATGTACATGCGATTTTAAACAAATTCCACTTTTGCGTTCTCTCAACATAAACTTCTCCTACTAACAGACATGGTAGAAAAAACTGCACATCAAGCGACAGCTAACAGACTCCTTCATTTCTCTGACCTCGCTGTTGCCTTCGCCATGTGAGCCCAACCGCAATTGCGGGCACGTGTATCGTTTACTTGCACAAAGGGTGCATCATAGTAATTAAGTTGTGTTGTTTTGGGTTGCATTCCATGATTCTGCATGCTGCTGCAAAGGAGAGGTTCAATTTTCTGCTTAGTTGGCTACATTGTCATTATTCAGTGGCTGTTTTGAGACAGGGCATGTTTGCGGCAACCCGAGTTGGTGAGTGCACACACATGCACACACACACACATAGGAAATGCATTGCTATTCTTCTTAGGTCCTCGCATTGATTTTCCATCCAGAAACATATCTTTAACTATAACCACTTTAAGAAGAAATTGCTTTGGATCAGTAGTTCAAGAAGTGAGAATTTTCCAAATTAACCTTGCCAAAAATGCCAGTACGTACAGGCGCTTAATTCTACCTCATCACAAATGGATTTCCCCAGAACCGTCTGGTAAGTGATTTGTTCCTGCAGTCAAATGCCAGCTATTGGTTACTGGCATTCAGTTTAGAGATTGTAGCTTATTTTTTTAACTTTTCCTCTCCAGAGCCGATATGCTTGGGAGTGGTTCTCTTTTTAAATTATTTTTATCTGAAACATATTTTTAACATAATATTCAGTATGGGCAGTGACAGGGCAGATTAAGGGTACTGGACTGAAGTGAAGGCATAAGGGCAGGGCAGAACCACAGGCTGCTTTGGCGCTGACTGAGCCAAATCTCAATAAACTCTCATTGTTTTAAAAATAACTTTTGGTGTGGTGGAAAAAGATGACAAAAATAAAATAAAGTAACAACTAATGGACTTACTGATCAAAAATTAATGAAGATGTTAGTGGTGTTGAAAATCTTTTTGAGTGGAAAATAATGCATCTTTTTTCTTCCCTGTGGGAGAACAGGAAGCTTGAGTTTAATGTCTAATAGAGAGAAATGATAAAAGTTTAAATTAAATTAAAACCAATATGTGTTTGTATCGTATGTGAGCAGGCTAGCAGAAAGATGTAACTAATGATGTAAAACTATGAAACATCAACATCCTATTTAACGGAGGTGTTGACCCTTTGATTGTCTGATGATTCGTCCATTGTGCCTGGAAATCTGTTTAACGTCAGGGAGGATTTGTATCATATCCTGTTGTCACAAAAAAATGTGAGATTCTAAATATTTTTTCAGATATTTTTAAAAACAAAATAAAATTAATTTCTTTCCCTGGGTGATTGTAAAACAGTAAGAAGGTTACAGAATATTCTGTAATTCACGTGTGAATTTCCTCCAAACAATCGCCTCAATACAAAATAAAATAAAAGCACAAGGAAACCATAAAGCAGCCACAGTTGCTCGCTCTGTGAACCCCAGACTAGCACAAACTGAAACATCCGGGAAGTGACTGTTTTCTACATCCTGACTTTCAAAAGGCCAAGCTTCACTCTTTACTTCCAGTTTCTTCACTAATTATAAAACAGAGACAAGAAAATGGAAGGGGAAACAGGAAAGATTTCATAACCTCGAAAACGGTTGACAGGATACTGTTGTCTAACTGTTAGGAGGGATGGATGGATAAAGGGAGTGATGGATGAATGGACGAAAGGAGGAATGGATGGATGGATGAAGGTAGGAATGGATGGATGGATGAAGGGAGGAATGGATGGATGGATAAAGGGTGGAATGAATGAATGGATGAAGAGAGGAATGGATGGATGGATAAAGGAATGGATGGATGGATGAAGGTAGGAATGGATGGATGGATGAAGGGAGGAATAGATGGATGGATAAAGGGACGAATGGATGGATGGATAAAGGGACGAATGGATGAATGGATGAAGGGAGGAATGGATGGATGGATGGATAAAGGGGCGAATGGATGGATGGATAAAGGGAGGAATGGATGGATGAAGGGATGGATGGATGAAGGGAGGAATGGATGAATGGATTGATGGATGTGTGGAGAAAAGAATGGATGGATGAAGGGAAACTGTAAAGATTCTTTGTCTAACTCCTGTAATTATCCCATGCTCCATCGTTCCTCATGTGCACAATGCTGATCCAACCTGGGAAAGGCATCCGTGGCTTCTGTGAATGCAGTGGGAATTTCTCTGGCACAGATCCCAGGCGCAAGGATTGAGGGTGACGTTCCCAACAACAGAATGTAACTGTAACTGTAAATCTCTCTCTTTCTTCCCCTCTCTCTCTCGCTCCCTCGCACAAAGACACATACACAGAGACACAGGTTTTTGTGTTTTATAAGCCCTTCACACAGTACCATCCTAGTCCCTTAACCTCTTACTACTTACTACTACTATTATACAACCTGAGTACATACTAGTACATTTTGGGTGGAGTAGAACATTAAAAGCTTGTTTTAATGTCGCAATGCTTAACTAAGGTCTAGGCCTGTGTGTGTTTGTGTGTGTGTGTCTGTGTGTAATTACAGTGTATGTTAACCCTGATATCAGATAAAAGCCAGTACTGATCTTTTTCTGACAAAACACTTGTGAGTAGGACAAACAAACGGTTTCAGACTTTTTTTCCACTGTCCTTTTCACTGTTCTTTCACAGACCATATGAAGCAAATTGATCAACATTTATTTTCAAAAATAAAATCAGAAAACAGAAGACTTGTGCCTGCAGATGGTAGCCTACGTTTTTTAGAAGTACAGCAACATAATCAGAGCCAGGTCTATGGAGGAGATGAACTATTGCAAGGGGTGGGGGGGGTCAAACTGCCGGCTGAGGGGCCCACGAACCCCCTACAGCTGGCCCGTGAGCTGATAATAATACGATTTTGTCTTTGATATAATGTAATGAAATTGAAGCATCAAATTGGTAGTATAAGTTCTATAACATACAGTATGTCTGGACAGTACTGTTGGAATACAGTATTGTACAGTATTTATATAAAACAAAAATCTAAAATCTGAGTTTATTTGTATTGTTCCAGAAACACTGACTTGCCCTCCAATGAAATGATGGTGGCGACAGTGATACCCCAGTACCCCCCACACACAAATGTAATGGATGAATGGCATTTAATTTAATGGATGGGTGGCATATCTGTTGGCATAAAGTACTGTAGTACTGTAATATATATAGCCAACTGATCTAACCTGGGTTTCTAACCATGTGCAAGTTAATCGTCAATCAAAAAATAAAACTTTAGAATCATTCTACCAAAATGACACACTCGTGTTGGTGCTGGTAAAAGTATGACCTCTATTAGTTTTTCACGTAGTTTGTTCGTTCGCCATACCCGTGTTATATAACACAGGTCAAATTAACTCATCGCTAAGTGAAGCACAACCAAGACTTGATACTTAACTCATTAAAAAGTGAGGAGAAAGACGAGGAGAAAGAGGAGGAGAAAGAGGAGGATCAAACTACCAATGAAGTCATTAAACGCATCCATGAGAGCGCGTCGAGCACGCTCTCATTCTGTCACCACACTGCAGAAACGCACAGGTCCCTATGATTTTTATGAAATATAAACTATGAAAGTAGCTCAACATTTTGACGATAAAAATACACACCGAAATTAATTACTTTTGACATCACAAGAGAAGCGAAATGGGAATTACCAAGAAAAATGACACCCCGTATAATATAACAAAGTAAAATTAAATTTACAAGTTTGACCAAAATCACACAGCAAACTAAACTAAAATTAACAAAACAAAAACACAATTTAGGTCCAACATTCCGCGTACGTTGGCGTCATCTGTACGTCAAACAACAAGGAATCACCGAACACGTTACAGTTGTGTTTAAACGTTTTCATTGGACTGGAAAACGCTTCGTACAAGTCTATGTAACGGACAAACACAGAAAAAGTACCGGCGGCTACAGAAAGTAAAAAGTACTGGTAGTCACTCACCGGTTTGATGGATAAATGTGACTGAAATCAACGTTCAGAGACCGGACATGTGGTGGAAACTCTTCCGCGGTTTGTTCTGGATCAAAATAATAAAAGGTTGGATTTATGAAAACCACAACGCCGGTTCACGAGGTCTGTCCTTGGTCTCTCTCACTCCCTCTTACCCTCCCCTCTGTCTCTCTGAGTCCTCCGTGGGGGAAAAAAGTCAAACAAAGAGGCTGGCTCACTGTGCGTCACAGCTGCAAGTTCAAACCCCGCGTCACTGTACGTAAACCCCGCGCTGTCCACGCAAGGTGGCAGTGGACAGAGTTTATACACAGAACACATCATAATGTGTCGGACGGTGACAAAAATACATAATTTAATTGTTTATAGCCATATACATTTCACAAAACTGAAGGTTATTGTATGAGTTCTGCTACTTGGATAGCAATGGCGTTGCTAAAGTGCCCATGGTTTACCCTAAAATTGTTTACCCTAATTCTTAGTTTGACCTTAACGTCAATAGCAACAGAAAAAAGAATAAAAATTAAAATATTTCAATAGAATAAACCAGACAAATACATAAAAAACGAATTTAGTATTTATACACTAATAAATACCTTGAGCAAGAGGTTAGTATGTACACAACATGCAGTAGTATATATATTCCTTAGCCTATTTGCAACATTAAGAGCAAATACTATAAAAAGTAAAAAAATACAACTAATTTGACTAAATTTAAATATTTATACAGAAAAAAGGTGGTGAATAAAGAACCCTGTATACAATTTGCATTTTTTCCCCCCACTACAATACTCCTGGTGTCAGACGTCTTGTACCGTAACTAACAGCTTTTTATTTCTGCCTTTTTTCTCCTTTTCTTCTCCACTGTTAACTCATCTTAGGAACTATTTGTTCTGGTTCAAGCGTAATGACTGTCACTGACTTTGATGTCACCCACAATCTTAGACCATACCCTGTTGTCCATATCAAAGGCAAAGAAAGTATATATAAAATATATATACTATTCTCGATTTAAGGACTATGTTTTGATTACCAGTCTTTAGACTGGGATAATGACTATGAACCTCAAACTCTAACTTTTTTTTATTGATGCAGCACTTTACATACATAAATATGGCACAAAGTACTCTACAGATAAATGTGCTTATCTCAATTTCAAAACGAGAATCCACATTTTTAAAGCCAAAACGTTCGTATGTATAATTATGTATTATGTGTTTTATTTTATTTTTTGCTATATTTCGAGAGATCGGATTCAAAGAAAATCTGTGATGTACTGAGGGAGTGAGAGGAGAACCGTGATATAGAGAGTAAACATTGTATATACAAACATGTCTATATATACTGTACATACATGTATATATATACATATACAGTTTATGTATATATATAAATATATATATATATACATGTACACATATATACATGTATTCAGTACGTACTACATAAATTGTCCATGAAGTTGATCCTTGAACAAGTACTATTAGGACCTGACCTACGATAACCATAGTGTTGGAAAAATACCAGCATTAATAATATTGTGAAATTCTACACAGGTGAGTGGTGGAGGATTCCACACGGCCACACACATATACACTTCTCATGTGTTATGAAGCAGTGAGTCAGTGTCCGTCAGTGACCCGATGCATCAGGCGGTCACTGTGCTATTGCATCATCACACACGACTCTTCTGTCTTCATCCTCTCTTTCATTCATCACACACACACTGACTGTTCAGCATGTTTGAATTATAATCTGTGGGTGTGTGGCAGTGGGCTGCGACCATTGAATGTGTTTTTCCTGAATGGCCGGCATTCACTGGTTTGACAGTGTATACTGCAGAGGGCCACTATATAACAGACGGTCAAAGACAAAGACCACACTGGTAACTTTGTGTTGTGTCCACTCCCCGGGCAACTGGAGGAGGTGAGCATAGGCGTCACATTAATGGAATTACGTGTATAGAATCACGCCGTATAACCATGTAGTGATTCTCAAAATATGGGTTGTGGACCACCGGTGGTACGTGTGCTCCCTCTTGTGCACACGTGTCAAACTCAGGCCCAGGGGCCAACTCTGGCCCACAGTGTAATTATATTTGGCCCGCAAGATCATATCAAATGTGTACTAGATTTGGCCCGCCCCTATATAATGTTGTATTAGCAGTGTATGCGCTATGTTATAACTTTTAGTGTTTAATAAAAACAAAATATATATATAATCATTCTCCTACACTTAGTAGCCCCGACACTCTGTCCTGCCCACCGTCCCTCTATGGGGTTTTTTTTATCCATATTTTTAGCAATAATATTATTATTTTTTATTATTATATATCATAATTATTTTATATTATCAATATATTTGTTCATGTCTATGTTTTTGTTTTTTAGATGGGGGGAAATTAATAGTATATTTCTGGGGGCTGGAATGAATTAATTGTTTTTTAGTTATTTTTAATGGAGAAAATTCCATCTAGATATGAGTGAATAGAGACACTAGGGCTGTTTTGGAACGGATTAATCTCGTATCTCATATCATTGTATTAAGGTTTGGTCTTAAAATTAGCCCATTTCCTTGTCCCAGTTTTCAATTATGGCCTACTGTGAATTTGATTTTGACACCCCTGCTCTAGTGGTACTTGTGGAATTTCTTTCAGGATTAAGCACTTGGTTATTAATAGATACTGTTACTATTTTTTAATTTAGAATTTAACTTGAGGATCCCATTGTGTTGTGATGACCATGGAGATGGACCGATTCGGCCTGTATTTCATGATGGTGATAGTGATAGTACTTGAGGAGGCAAATATTGTGTTAAAAAGTGTGCGAACACAGTGGATATGAACCAGCCAGAACAGTATGGCACCAGTGAACTGATTTAATTACAAAGAGAAACCCACAAAGACAAAACATGACTAAGCTAAAGCTGAACCCATAACGTTTGCATGATGTCCACCAGAAATATACAGCGTCTTGACCACGTGTTCCTTCTTCTACCTCTGGATGTCCCTAATATGGTGTTCATCATTAGTTATCTCCTTTTAGAGCAGTCGCAACAGAAACAGCTCTGCTCTGATCTGGTTCCAAAAGAAAATAAGACTTTTTTAAATGAAACATAACCAACAGCACAAGCCAAAGGAAGTCAGAACTGAAAAAAAAAAAATTATAAAAATATGCCATGAAATTCATTGTTGGGAGCAGTATTTACAGAAAAAAAATGCAACATTTACCGATATTTACAACAATACAGACTTTTCACATACAGGCAGTAAGAGGGAGTTTCGTGTCGAATGATTACCGAGGACCCCGAGGTGACAGCGACGTGCTTCGTTCTGGGAGTCATAGTCAGAGTTTACTTAATACATGACCATATGACGCGCCTGCATGCACATCTTTTGGGGGTGACTTCAGGTCAGAGTCTGGTGTCAAAACCAACAATGTAGACATTAGTCGCAACAACAGTTGGACACGGGAATGCATGAGTCAGGAGGAAGGAATTTCTGTGGTTCATTTATGTACATGTCCTGCTGGTCAACTCTGGTAGTGCTGCTCAAAAAAAAAAAAAAAAAAAAAAAGCCTTCCTGCATACGACAGATTTACTTTGACACCATAGATAAACAGTGATTGAAAGGTCAATACGCAGAAATACACACAACATTAAATCACTGCTACCTAATGACATTGTAGAACATTCAGGTTGTTCTTTTTTAGCAGAAGTAAACAAATCTGCTTCACTAATAATTGGAAACAAATAGAACCCAGTTCTGGGCAACATTTCTGTGAAGTGTTTCCAAGAATCCTTGCAATGCGCCTAAGTATACAAATGTTTTTGCGGAACATAGTGCTCCGTACACAACGGAGCAATTTTAATTTCGAACAAGAAGTGGCAGGTGGATCCACCAAACATTTTATATCACAACTTTTGAATGTTTTATTTTTCTCAGACCAGAAAGAACATACAGGATTTATAATTGTTACTGGGTTTTTTTTTCTACCACAAGGATTTAAAAATAATGACAATAATATTCGATATTTTCAAACGCAGCGTGCACAGTGTTTAGCAGCTATCACAATGAGCAGCCCATCCTCTCGTCTATTTGCCTATCTTAACAGTGTGGTTGTTTTCATCCATGTGCAAAAGCTCAGATGTGGAGCACAGATGGCTGCTTAAGGTGCGATGAGGTTTACACTCAGGCTTGGAGGGATCAAGGAAAATCACTGCTTAACCTTAAAAAGTGAGTGAGTTTACATCTGATGACTTTAGTGCATTAGGAAGGAACATGGTACAAGTTTGGGGGTACATTTTGTTTAAGTTTTTAAACTTACAAAAAATTGCTTCGTAAACTCATTTGTGTTTTTGCACTTTCCATGTGGTGTCCTGGAGGATGACAGTGGTCGGATTTTCCGCTCCATATATACATATATACACGTGTGTGTGTGTGTAAAATGGCTTAACTTTAATCTGCAGGCACGTGTAGGAGCTAAACATGTCTAATCCCCGACTTTCAAAATAAAGAATGAAAAGGGTTTGTTTTCTTTGCTCTCACAAAATGAAGTCATGCATTTTGTTTGAAAATCACAGACTTCTCAGTTTGTTTGTTTGTTTTTTTGGCACAATAGCGGCTAAACGTTTGCATTTCAGGAAGTGACATTTTTAACACATTTCCTTAGCCGTGCAGATTTTTAGTCATTTGCAGTCAAAAAAATTTGGTGAAGACAAACTACTTTATTTTATACTGTTGTCACTTTACATTTATTGAACCATAACCCTCCAAAATAAAAGCCCCAGTTTGTACATTAACCCAATCATGAGACTGTTGCCTCTGTCTTACGCTACATCGTCTTCTCCTTTTCTCGTCAAGGCTTCTGTGTCCTTCTACTCAAAAAGAACAGGAAAAAGGTGAAAAGCTACATTTTCTATAAATTAAGTGCTGTAAAAGAAGGCGCTAAAATAAAAAAAACAAACATAAATACTGTACATATCTGCTGTCATTATTTATTATTTCTCTGCTGTAAAAAATCAGCAAAAAGCCCAGTCCACTTTTCTCTCCTGACAGAACAATCAATAAATTGAAATTTCATGGCAAAATTCCCTTAATATCAAAACTCTCAGACATGAAAGGCCTTGTTCAGTCACATGAGGGAGAAACACATGCAGTGCACTCATTTCCACTGCTGTGATCGGTTCACCGCAGCAAATTAGAGAAGCGATTTGATTGGTGGCTGGAGAGGAGGCTCTAAGTTTATATATATAAACAATTCAGAGAGTGAGAGCTGTTCGCTGAAGTATGTAACTCGACGTGTTTGCGTGTAGTTTTACTACAAACATCATAGATATTGCACTTAAGTGATGCTTTGTGTGATTTAGGCAACATCGTCTGACAAGTAGTAGAAACTCTTACATTCTTACCAGGAGGATCTGATCCCAGATCTGTCATTACAGGGTGATCTGGGCAATCACATTTTTAAAAGGGAAAAAACAACAACCACTATTTCATCCTTATGTTGTTAGGACTGCAGACGGTTAGAATTTAGAAGCTTGGTGTCCAAGTCCTGAAGAGTCCTTCAGACGTCATCATCATCATCATCACATTATTCTCATGTGTTGACATGTCAACATTTTCTTTCCATCTCCTCGACTTATGTACTTTCCCACCAGTTCAAATGTCACAGTGAGGACCAAAGCACATTGTCAAAATGAAAACAAAAAGTACACATGAAAGCAGAGTTTGACGCGATCATCTTCATGTGTAGGTTCAGGCCGGAGCCGAACGTCACATTTTGCACATAGAGACTTGTGGACTGAGCATCTTCAGTGGCAAATAAGGCTTTGACCAGGGTTTGATGGTCTTAGACCTTCCACAGTAAAAGATGGTTGGTGCTGTCATCCCGACCCACTGTTTCACTACTGTTAGTCAGTCTGAAGTCCTCGTAACCGTCGCCACCAGAAATGACCAGATGGTTGGTTTTTGGAGGGATGTGAGCCGAAGCTCTCCGACGTATGGAGTCATGCCTTTGGAGGTTTCCGTCCACCGTGCTGCTGCTCTGGCAGTGACTGGACACTAAGACACCAGAAGGAATGGGTTACAGGTCAGTAATTTGAGGACAATTGTGCCTTTTTTTTTTACACACGAAAGGTCTGACATTTTCTCCACTTCTCCACTTCTCCACTTGTTATTATTTCCACACATTTCAGGACATTTATATAAAGAAACCAATATACAGAAAAACAGTTTTTTTTGTCATATTCAGGAATTAAATACATTTAAAAAACCACCTGTAGATTCTGTTGTAGGAGGGAAGTTCATGTCAATCCCCTCTGGCAGTTCGATTGACGTCAAAAATCGAACGTGGCCCGTGTGTCCGTGAGCTGAGCCCATGGGCACCAGGGGTGATTTCAGATTTATTGACCCAGTTCCTGAGCTCACTGCAGGGATAACGAGGGTAAGGACCACCCCTGAGGACAAACACCATGTGTTAAGATGCTTTATTTTTCTTAAACGAAAAATGTCTTGAATAAATTAACCAACACAGGCTTAAGCATTGTATGTGTTTTTCAATCCAATATTAACTTACTTATTTTATATTAATTATTAGAAGAATTAGAATTAATTAGAACTGAAAGAATCATGCAAAAGCTTTTCAGAAAAGGTATGCCAAGTTTAGGAAATATGACAAAATTATAAAAAAAAAAAGACAAAATAAAAATTATAATAAATCTACACAGCACCGCTTTAAATGTAATGCTGCAGATTAAAAAAATATATATAAAGAACAATGCAAATAATTATTAAAATAAAAAATTGCACATATATTGCATCAATTGTACCCAGAAAACTGTAGCAACAGTTAACAAATTATCCAAAGAAAATCAGATTATTGCAAAATTAAAAAAACAGAGCAAAATGCTGCACAGTCAAGATCATTAGGCAAAACTGCTTGTTTTGATATTTATTTTATATAGTAAAAATAAATCTTTTTGTTATATTTTATTTTTATTTTTTTTACCTGCACTTGTTCCGATCCACAGTAAATCTTTACAGGCCAGCAGTGCTGTGATTCTCAGACAGGCAGCTTTGTGTTGTCTGATGATGGCGTCTGCACCTGAGTGGAAGGAAAACCATGCGGCTCAGATATTCGTGTTAGATACAGTACATTTGTAGTGAATTAACATCTCCCTCTACAGTCAACGCGGCCTCCGCCTCAGGTCATGTGTATTTACCTGCCAGCATCTTGTGCACAGCCGGAGCCACATCCACCTCTGTCAGCGTCTCCCAGGTCTGAGCGTGGTACAGTCTCACCTGGGCACTGCCCTGCAAAGCCAACCACACGCCCTGACCGTAGACCACCATGCACGTCACACACCGACTGCTGTCGCTGCCCACCTGGAACCAGTGCTGCAGGAGAAGACGGCAGAAAATATTCCAGGGACAATGTGTTACAAATAAAAACTTTGTAGCATTTTTACCATCGTTTTTAAGATTCTCACCTCCTGTACCAGTGTAGCTGTATTGAGGATGAGAACTCTATTCTGTGAGCCACACCACAGCTTCCCTGCTACAGGAACCATTTTGGTGACAGGACTACTGGGGGAGCCCAGAACTAAGGTTTGTGATGACTGAGGGTCCCAGAAACTGCCTGCAATCAAGGATGACATCAGCAAAGGGTTAAAGACATGTACAGTAGAGAGAAAACAGGAAGATTTTTAATTTTATGTCAAAGTCACCCAGTAATACCTTGAGATACGAGGGTCTCGACGTACGATTATTCAGAGATACGAGCAAGCCTTCGAGCAAGTTTTTGCTTTGAGATACGAGTAAAGATTTGACATACGAGCACGCTTACAGATGCCGACGCTAGTCATCCGTACGATTATTCAGAGATACGAGCAAGCCTTCGAGCAAGTTTTTGCTTTGAGATACGAGTAAAGATTTGACATACGAGCACGCTTACAGATGCTGACGCTAGTCATCTGAAAAGTAGCTCCCAAGCCAACAAAGTGTAGACACCCATGATCTATAGCAATTAAAACATGTTTTTCCATTGTTATTAGCACTAATAAGGTAGTTTTTTAGAGGGCCGGAACAGATTTTTTTTTTTTCTGTTATTTCTTATGGGAAAAAATGATTTGCGATATCTTGTATCTCAAGGTATAACTGTATTTGGACCTCTCTCGTGTGTTTGGATTAAACCACGTGAACCCTTCAGCTCACCTGCCTCCCTCTGGTAAACAATCACTTCTCCATTGGCTAAGGACACAAACACTTTGTTGTCCAAATATCTAGACAAGACAAAAACACACGGATTAGATGAACCACAAAGCTACAATTTTGCTTTTGTTGTCTCTTGTTTTTTTTGGGGTTTTTTTTTTACAAAGTATTTACAAAATCCAGAAATAATGGACTCACAGAATACAGAGGATGGAAGCAGAGTGCTGCATCTTCATGCTGTTTTTGCGGTTGCGAATGTTGTCTGAGGACTGGTACACGTGGATGCTAACAGAAACAGAAATGAAGAGGAACCAGGGATTAGTAAAAAGACAGTCCTGTCAACAGAACCAAAAACTTTCTCCACGTGTGTCTGTGCGTCACACACCATCCGTCCTCTGTCCCCAGCCACACTGAGCTCTGGTAGGCCTCGGGGTCGATGCTGAGCAGATCCTCCAGACTCGCCCTGGTGAAGGAACCGCGGGAGGATCTGCGCATGGCACGGCCATCCATAGGGCTCTCAGCCTGGGTACGACTTCCTCCTCCAACCCCCAGGACTCTTGGAGGTCCGTAGGAACCTGCCACTGGGAATTCCTGCTCCTCTTCACTGCTGGTGGTCTCTGCAGCCATTTCCTTGGAGCTGGGGCCTTCGTCATCTTAACAGGAAAAAAGAGCCAAGTTATGGAGTGTCGGGGTGAAGAAGTAAATGAGGTGATTGGATTTTTAACTCACTTCCGTAGCTGGATGAGATGGTGGAGTGACTGGCCTGACTCTGTAGGGTGGAGGAAGGGCTGGGAGAATCTTCATCATCTGTGTCATCGCTGTCAAATGGAACCAGCTTCGCCCCTGTTCAAAATCAGCAGACGGTAAATGGATCAAGTTTCTGAAAATATGATTCTGCCAAATCTGAAAATTATAAATACAAACAAACCTGTAGGTTGTTCTGTCATTTCCAGCGAGGAATGAGAGATAGATATGTGGAGTTGCTGACCAGGGGGTCTGGACGGAGGGACGACTGCGGACTCTGATACACGCTCTCTGAGGTGGCAGAACAGACACACCATAAAGTCAGTTTGAAATGCTGAACCTGAGCATCTGAATGACCTGGAGTCACACACAGAATCACAGGAGAGGATCCAGGACTCTTACGATCGGCGTTCCAAGAACATTCCTGGCAGAAACCTCTCACTACATTCTTTGGGGGAATAAGAAAGTCCAGATTCAATTCCCTGTTTTACTGCAGGAGCTCGTGGTGCATTTACTGACCTTCCCTTAAGTCCTGGCACGGCAGCAATGCAGATGATCCTGGCTGAGCAGACGGCGATGCAGGCCTCCACTGTAGGCTCATCTTTGATGTTCAGCAGACAGACCTGCAGAGGAAACACCGCCGGTCAATCAGTCAATCAGTGTCGACCCTACGACCCTGACCACGTCTGTGGTCAGTGTTAATTTTCACTTCAGGTTCATTATGATAATGACATGATTGAGACACAGTTTTCCTCACCTGTCCTACATATCCGTCACTGTTACACACCCACACTTCACAACCGCTGTCAGGGCAGCTGTGGCTGGGGGAGGCACAGGAAAACTGCAGGGGAAAAGATTTTATTTTTCAAAATAAAAGCCCAAAAATGTGTGCATAAATTAAATATGAAAATCAGGCAGTTCCTGTTACTCTCACCTGCATGCCGCTCCGTGTCTTCATTATCGGAATTGCCTTCAGAAACTCCGGGTCCCACTGGTCCTTGTTCATTGCTGAAGGAGTTAAAAAAAAGGGAATTATTTGAAAACTTTTTTTAAAATATATTTTATTTCAACCGCAGCTCTGTTTCACTCACCGAGCTTCTTCTTGGCATCTTCAAAAGTCTGTTCAAAGTTAGAGCGAGCATCCGGGGAGCTGAACTCAAAGACGAAGCTGCTCTCGGCGGAGGCCGTCGTGAACTCCAGCTTCGTGGGCAGGAAGGTCATGCTGAAGGCCAGAGACTGTTTCTCTGTGAGCTCCCTGTGCACAGACGCTGTCAGATCTTTGATGACCTCATCCAGAGACTGGAGGAGGAACCAACAAAAAAGAACCTTTAAACTGAAGCATGTGGAACACGGGTTTTGTTGTGCGCCCTCTGTTAGAAATGCTCGGCTGATACCTGGTGTGGGAAGCTGAGGGTCTCGGACAGCTTGCTGATCTGACCCAGCATGCTCAGATCTTCGTCCAGTCGACTTATCGTCTTCTGGATGCTCTCCTTGTTTGCTGCCTGCGCGGTGCCTTTGGGGTGGAAGAGGTGAGAGAAGCATTTACGACCAGTCAGTCAGAAAGATCTGAGACAGATGTTCTTCATTCGAAAAGCTTTGACAAATTTTATCTTCATCTTTGTCCTTTGTCAAGCGTTAAACCGTGCTACATTTAATTAGATCAGGTTTTTCAAACTCAAAACAACTTTGAAATCTGCACAAATCTATCTACAAACCTGTAAAAATGATTATAAATATGGGAATCATACGAATCATTTCAGCTCTTAGACACAATACACAACTAAAGGCTAGAGATATAAATTCCCTTTAGAGGATTGCTAAAAAACAGATTCTTACTTTTCACCACCTCCACATCCTCCAGAGGAAGTTTCCACAAGAATTTGTATTTACTGGATGTGTCGATGACGCTGGCAGCAGAGTATCTGAGGAGAAGAAATAAGAGAACAAGGAAACATGAAATTAAAATACTGTAATAATAAAAACATACATATTAAGTTAATCAGAGTAAATTCAGTAAAGAGTAAGAGTAACTGTCCCAAATGTTTTTATGAAAAAAGCAATTTAGATCATTGTTTATAAGAGTCAAATGTATTTATTTGTTTTTATTATAATTATTTGTGCAACTGTGGGGAAAAAAAAACTCCCAAGGGACTGTCAATATGCACCAAAATAGACCAAACTATTGGACATTGTTGGGGTGGTCAATAAATATATAATATATGATTGTGGATAATGTAACTTTTAAGCCATTTTGGTTTAAAAATTTAAAAACAAACTTTGAGAGCAGCAACTCTAGGGACCGTACATGGATAAAAAAATAAATAAAATAAATGTGTATATATATATATTATTTGGTTTACAATGATATCCACTGAGTAAAAAGAACACATTCCATTTTTGTTTTGTTCACCAAATTCATTAAACACCCCACTAGGGGTCATATTGTTGTGTTATGATAAGTAAGTGTGGTGTGTGTGTTTACGTACAGGCTCATGGAGCTGCGTCTTAAAGAACCAGATTTCCTCTTCAGGGTGGTGCAGATGATCAGATCGCTGAAGAGAAAGAGGGAACGGTCCTTCTTTCCGCCCACTGTCTTCTACAGAGGAAAACCCACAGAAAGAGAACGCGCGCTAAACATTTTAACATCGTAAGGTAGGAATAACAGGGTGTTATTTTTCACCAGATGTCACCGGGTAAACAGACAGAATGTGTTTTCTTACCGCCTCCATGACCATTTCCTGCCTCAGGAACTTCCTCTGAGGATTCAGTATCTAACACAGACAAAGAGGAAAATGGGAAAAAATGTTTTAATACTGTAATATGTTTTTCTTCTGTTCTTAGCTTAAACTTCTGATAAAAAGCAAGAGGAGAAGCTCATTTTTATAAACTAACAATTTTACACCGACACATTAATAATGATTAAATAAATATCTGGCTGTCAGAATGATCGTGTAAGTCACATTTATTAATTTAGGGAAATAATCAGATTTCATAAGTTAAATGATGTGCACTGTATATAGAATATTCCACCGTCCATCTACCTAATGTTGTGTTAATACAGTTGTCCTTCAAACACAAAAAATGAAATTAAAATAAAATTAAAATAAATATTGGGGTTTTTTTGGTCATATTTAGGAATGTTGTTGTTCTTATTAGTCAAGATTATTACCATCCTGGTTAACTGTGATTATTCCAAAAGCTGGTTGGTGATTAATTAGATTAAAAGTTCTACTAATCACGTATAAATGTCAGACATCTGTCAAAACAATCAAAACAAAACATTACAGCATCTTGTGATGCTCGAATGTTCACATGTTCGACACAACCTTTCAGGATTTCCCTTTTAAAAACACACATTTACTAAAAACATCGATCACAATCATCTCACATGTTCAATGCCTTCTATATGAGCCTCGATCTCCTGGATGACCCTGGTCTCTCTCTCCGCCTCCTCGGCCGAGCGACGGCCCTTGTTGATCTTCTCGGCCAATCGCTTGATGTCCCTCTGTGCATCCAGCAGGAAGGAGTGGTCCGGGTGGTCGTCCGCAGTGTGCTTCAGCAGGTCCTGCATCCACCCAAACCCTCTGTGTGTTAATGTCGTGCACCCCACAGGTAATATCACACCAGTATGGCTACATATACAAATCTGTCACCTTGACCAGCAGCTCATATCGAGGAATCCTCTGCACAGGCTTTATCATCAGGTCACCCAGACCTTGTTTCTCTTTGTTCTCACGCATATTTTGCTGTATTGAGTGAAAGACAAAATTCGTAAAAAAAAAAAAGAAACAGCGTGAGAAAACAACTGAAATTATGTTGCGAGCTACGACAAACTACTGAAGAGAGCCAAGTTTGCAATTCACTTTTTGGCCACCAGAGGCCAAAGTTGTTCCACAGTGAACCACTTGGCTTCGGCCTTGTATGCGATTGTAAACTGAGACCAGGGTGAGGACATGACAAGGTTTTGCGGTGCCTGATTACATTTTTGAATCTTGTCTGTGCAGCCAGTTAGTCCTGTTCTTCCTTTAACCACAGCGTCATAGTGCAACGCAGTAGTGGTCACACAAACGTAACTGGACGCACTATTGTAGCAGGATGTAACAGAATGACATGTTTATACATTTAATTTTATATGTCACATGTTAATGACAAAAGAACAAATGTGGTTTTATTGCTGATAAAAAATAAAAATAAATCTGTTTTACAGGTTAGAACCCTCTAGCCTTATGAGTTCCTTTTAATGTAAATCTTTTTTTATAGCCCAACAAAAGAACAACCAAAAATGTATGTGCTATAACATAGTGTATACATCGCTGATACTACAAAGCCTGCCAGTATTTAGTGGCTATATAATGGTGGCCCAGCTCTAATATAATTACACTCTAAATATAATTACTCCAACGGCCAGATTTGGCCCGCGAGCCTGAGTTTGACACCTGTGACATAGGGGATAACTTCATACTTTAGCACATACTGATACGGCCAGAGTTCTCCTGCTCTTAAAGGACATGTGTGTTCTAAAGTCATAAACTTGAAACTCGTTTCTATATCAAATCCAAAGTCCAACACTCACCTCCAGAAATTTGTGAAACGCAGGTTTGGCCTCCTTTGCAATCCTCACTGCATCTTTGGCATTGAGAAAGTTGTCTATGTAGGCTGAATACATGTTTGCGATGTTCTCTTTGGAGAACTGTACAAAAGAGGAAGACAAAATAGAGCATTAAAATTTCTTATTATTATTCACAATTATTAAAATAAGAAAAGACGGAATCAAAAGACTGCGGTGCTCATTACACATTGCAGGACATCCTCCAGAGTTTTATAACATGATTTTTTTTTTTTTTTTTACAGTCACTTAAATTTCAAAGAGCAGAAAAACTGTTAGAAAAGTATTCACTTAAATTTCAAAGAGCAGAAAAACAGTTAGAAAAGTATGTGAAAATGTGAAACTTTATTCCTACATACTAATAGAAAATAATATGTACTGCTCTAGGATCAATCTAATAATAAAAAACCGAATACAAGAATAAAAATCCCCAAATTTTCCAGCCAAAAAAACTATACTGCATTAGACTTTTTTTAAACATCTTTCCCATAGATGGACTGGAACCTTTCCCTTCCACTTCAAAATTAAAGTACCTAACTTTGTTCTAGAGGACGACAGCCAAATTCATACTGTATGCCAGTGATTAGTCAGTTTCCTGATTCAGTTCTTCTGGATGACTGTTCTGTGCTAGGTGACTAAGAGTTCTATTGTACGAGAGTGTGCTTTTAAAGGAAAGCGCCAGGCGCACACACGCCAAACAATTGCTTCTATCCGAGTATTTATACAAAAAAAAAGAAGAAAAAAAATCGCTGCCCCGTGTGAGGCTCGAACTCACGACCTTCAGATTATGAGACTGACGCGCTGCCTACTGCGCCAACGAGGCCTGTGCGGAGCTGCGCTCCAGCGGTTTTAAATGCTACAGCAAGGGAGCGGGTGATGGGCTGAAGCTGAGTCACAGTTCAGAGCAGAGTGCTCTCAACATGTACAACAATTAGTGCTGATATTTTTGGAAACCACTTGTTTGACGTAAAACATTTGTTATAATTAACTTTTTAAACCTCATAATGCATTTCTGACAAGTTATTGTGCTACCTGACTTTTGGGTCAATTCTTAACTGTTCATTTGCTCAGACTGCGTAAAATTTAAGCTGACAGGGGGAAACAAATCCCCTCTTTCTCTTCCTCAAGGAGCCCAAACTTACATTTAGCTCAACACAAACATTGCAGAAAAAAAAAGTTCCTGAAAGTCTAAGCGAGCAGCCCACAGCGTGGGGGTCATGGGAAACGTTTAAACAGGTCGCAAAGAGGTCAGTGGGAAAACAAAATATCACAAAATATGTGTAGCCAAGTATAGATCATCGCTTAATAAAACACTTCTATTCAGATTATATTAAAGCTCTTACCTAAGGTAAAATATTTTAAGAAGGTTTTCATCCAAGAGGTGCAACTTTAACATCGAAATACTGACATCAGAAAGAACATTCTCTTTTTCGGCCAACAGACAATGAAGTCAGAATACAGAAACTCTTCAAATCTGTGTACTCACTGATTGGATCAGGAGGTGCCCGACTGTTTGCTTGTCGTGCCATTGGTTGACGCAGCCAACGACTAGCTCCAGGAAATGCTCGTGATGTTCCAGAATCTCTGGGATCTGATAAAACATCTCGTCCACCAGAAGAGGGTCCACTATGGAGCCGCCGTCTGCCTGCTTGAGAGGACGCATGTAGCCCTGAAGAGACAAGAGTCAATTAATTATTTACATTAATGCAAAGAAAAAAAAAAGTTTTTCCAGTACAATACAAGAACTACAAGGAAAACCAACGTACTTGATATGATATAAATCATGAGTTAACTGTCTTTAAAACCAACAGTAGAAAAAATATATATCAGGCTTTGTTAAAAAATGGACAAAGTCTTAACTTTTGATGCACCATTTTGAGAATATTTTTGCTAACGACAACTAATACTCTTACCAGTTACGTTACCAGAACCATGGTACAGTAGTCTCTTACAGTAAGTGAGAGTTGGTTGAAAAGAACAGTCCTAAAGTGGTCTGTCCACATCTTACACTCTCCTTTAGGGATTTGCATATTCATTAAAGTCCTCGTGGTAACACTTTTTTTCTCCTCTGTGTAGCCATGGAAACTCCAGGCCAGGATAATTCCTCGTTCACGGCGAGCGTGCGCGCATGCTTATGCATCGGCAGACACCCACACACATTGATTGATGACATGTTATACAGCAATGCTTGGTAATGAGTATGTGTGAGAGGTCGTTTGTGTAGATGTGGCTGATGACTGTAGGATGTGATGAAGTTAGCAGATTAGCCTAACTGGAGTTATCAGACTTATAAGATTACCTAACACATTTTGTGAAAGAATTTGCCAGGAAAGGTTTATTTATTAAAAGCAGTGCAGCCCACCATTTGCAGGTGTCAAGCTCATTTTGGTTCACGGGCCGCATACAAACTAATTAGATGTCAAGTGGGCCGGACCAGTACAATCATATCATAAATAACTATAAATAATAATATTAGATATGTGTCATTTATTCACATTTTAATGAGATATAATTTTACAAAACATATCCTTAACATGAAGTGTTTGCGTATTTTTTCAAAATTCATCAAGCGGGCTGGATTAAATCCCCTAGTGGGCCGGTTTTGGCCCACGGGCCATATTTTTGACAGCACTTTTTTTTTTACTTTACTTTGTCTGTATTCCTGCTTCTATGTATTACTTTCAGCATACTTTACTAATGAACTAATGTATCATTATTTTTTTTATTATTACTTGTTGTTAATAAACATAACAATAACGATAATAATACTAATATTGATGACAATGAATGTGTGAATTGTTTCAAACAGTGAATATTTCGTGTGTTTTTTTTTTACCTGAACAAGAGTGCGTAACGACTCCACATATGACTGCTCTGTGTCCAGGAGGGTCATCATTACATGTTTCCTCATGTCCTGCGGAGAAATAGGTGAACGGCAACATTAGAAACTGACTTTATATTCTGTCTAAAGTTACGTGGGTTCAACAAATGCTCACAACAATAAACACATGTAAAAATCACCAAAATGCTTGAATTTATTAGCCATGGCCTTAATGTCTCTTATGTCTCTGCACAAGCATTTATGACGAAGAAATCATATATATATATATATAAATTAAAACAAAAATAAAGAACAGAAGCAGAAAATATTGGGGAAAAAAAGTATTACAAAGTCCAGAATAGAATAAAGACACATTTATATTTATTGCTACATTTTCAAAAGTCTTCCATATCCAGAAATGTGATCAATCTACAGAGGTATCGTTCCTATTGGAGATGATGAAGACAAAATCATATTCATATCCCTCGAGTCCTGTGAGATTTTATAGTGCCACATAACTTGACTTATAAATATCAAATGGAGCCACAGGCAAAACTCTGTGGTACATCTCTCTCTCTCTTTCATTCTCTTTCTCTCCTGAGGTCTTTGCCAGTGCCACTGTGCCCTATAAATAACCATGACAATAACTTCCCAGAAAGGCCATGTTCAGTGTTTGGTATCCAGAGGGATCCCACAGGCAAGTTAAGTGGTGCTGTTTAGAGGGAGGAGTGAGTGTTCAAGAGAGGGAGGGGAGAGAGAGAGAGAGAGAGAGCATGAAAGTAATTACTGGTGGTAAATAGAGTGAACAGACAAGCATGTAATTTTTGGGCTGCTGCTACTGCTTTCTAATAGTGAATCTTACTTCCTACGTCTGAACTTCATTTGTTAGAGTTGCAGATCTACTTTTCAATTACAAAAAAAGCCCATTGAGAATTTGCCTAAGCTTAAGAATCAAACAACCTAGAAACATCGGTTGTGACCCTCTATTAAACCATTATGTCAGGTCCCAACAGTAGAAGCCAAAATGGCATTTTCTGTATTCTGTTATTTCACATAATAATGTCAGTTTCAAGACCCTTTCAGTTGGTAATGATATGTTGCACAGTTCTTATAAATAAAGGATCATTGTATTTGGTCATAATTTGTCTGCAGATCTTTTTTTTTTTAAGTATCTTTAACAAATAATTGAGTATCATATTGTGAGTTGATTGATCATTACATCCCTACAGTGTAATGTACTGCAGTCAGGCACACAGACACACACATATTGGCAGCAGTCCTTTGGACTACTACTATGCTACTATGTTAACCAGACCAACATTCTTCCTCTAACCTCATGTCTAATGTTACACTCACTCCAAACCACATATTCAAGCCACTTTTCACTTCATCACAAATTTAACCAGACTGCCGTAATTACGTTTTGCCTCATAACTACCAGGCCTAGGAAAAAGTTAGCAATCTTGCCAAAACTGATCCACGCACACACACTGCAAATTAAACCTTATTACAAATGTTCAATTCGATAGATGAGTTCCATTTCTTTCTCATGTGCACTTAATTAACCTTGTTGGCTCACATGCTCTAAACCCCAAATTTGTTTTTCCTACAACTGCAATACTGCATACTTAAGGAAGCAGACTTGGGTCTGAAAGGCTTCAGGTTTGATTCTATCAGCTGCCAAGTTACCACTAAGGTGCTCTGACCATGGCTCCGTCCCCACTCACTGCTCCCCGAGCAGCTTAAAGCTGCCCACTGTTCATTTTGGTGATGGGTGAAAAACTGAGGTCACATTTGGTTGTGTGTGCAGTGGTGTGTTGTGTCACAATGACAAATAGTTCACTTTCCTACTTTCCTAATAATAAATTAACATATTTCATAATAAGTTGGTTTCTTACTAAAAGTTTAAAAAGTTTGAATCTCAGCCACTGTTCGTTTTATTGTTCACTGTCACAGAACAGTCACAGAACAGCAAGTCTCTTCAAACCAGGAAACCGGCCTTGAACTGCGTATATGTAGCAACGTTAGCTTTTTCAAGCAAAGTGGGACCAGAGGACCTTGAGGTCTTTCCCTCTTGTGCAATGGTTTAACTGTTAATGTCAGGAAGAACTAATCGATTACTTTGTCAAATACACTGTAGGTTAAGCAAACAGAATAATGGAGGTGTAACATCATTGTAGCAGAAGTTCATCAGATGTATGCACATATAAATATATATATATATATATATATATTTATATATATAGTGTATATTTATAGTTTGTATATATAATTTTGTTTAATCTAAAGAAGAGGTTGAGAACCAGTAAACTCCAATGGTAACGGTGGTTCATGTTGATTATGAACAAATAAAAAGTGTAAGCCAATAACCTTAGACCTTTTCCGTGTCAAACCCATGGCCCGTGGGCCTGAATGCAGTCCACCAAGTCATTATGTTTGAAAGTTTGATTTGACACAGAGCAATGTCATATCTATATGTATATACTGTATATATATATATATATACATATATATATACACATATACATACATATATACATATATACACATATACACATATATATACATATACATACACATATATATATACCTTTGTTGGCTGGTGATATATGTACAGTATATATACAGTATAGCAAAGACACCTAAAGAGTCCACTTTTGAAAGTGTTATGTCAAAGTAGTGCAGTGTTAGCCGTTTATTTATTGTGGTGGAAGCAAAGAAGTAATCATCTTCAATTAAAATACCTTAGAAGAGAAGTTATTTGGTCATTTCCTGCATGTTATTATCCAAAATGTTAACATTTATGAGCCTTAATATTCAACAGTTTTTTTATATTTTACTTGTTTGGACCAGACATTACAAAGATGTCTCATCTGTACTCACTGAAGAACCATAAAGAGATTATCTTAACTTAACCAACACCAGCAGCCACGACATTCAAACGTCCCAAACCCTTACCCCTAGACAAATACTGGAGTGTCTTTACTTCCTTTTTAACACAGGAACACACTGCTCCTCAGCTTAAAGAAGCCCTGCTGTGGTTTCCCTGAGGAGAATTTGATGATGCTTCACAGAAAGAGCGGAAGTTATGTCGTCGCAGCAGAGGGCTCATACAGTGTGATAATGTGTTGTTTTTTTCCCCTATCTGTTTTCATACTTTATATCCATATTAGTTCTGTCCCACGCAAGCGGCACACACCTTCGTCACTGTGTTGTGTCAAAGCCCGACCGGCACATGTTGTTTTCGTTGCCGCTGCTTAATGTACTGCATGAAAACATGTTCATTGTGTGGCCCAAGTGTGTCAGCGCAGCAATAAGTGCCGCACCTGCTCCTCCTGCTGCTTGCATTGTAAACAAATGCATTTGACCTGGTTTAAAAAAAAAAAAAAAAATGAAATAACAGCACGGTGGAGGAAACTGAATCAGAAAATAAAAAGCGGATGTGAAAAGGTAAAACCTTAAGAGTGTCTTCAAAGCTCTGAACCAGAGTGTGAAACATGGTGTGTGAGGCTAAGAGCTGTACAGCGTGTTCTCCTGTGTGTAGCGCCTCACAATGCTGTGGACACAGGGGGTTGGTGAAGTATGCTATTCAACACAACGGAGGCTAAACATTAGAGCAGAATCAACATACAGCGGTTTCACAGGACCAGTGGTTTTACCAGGACATCATCAGTGGTCACTGGGTTTATATCAGCACCATAATGACTGGATGTAATCACCACAAGTGGCAATCAGACAGCTTTTAGCCTGTTAGCGCTTGGCAGGTTAAAAAGAAACTGTGTTAGCAAACACGCTAGCACGGAGTAATGTATAGCACAATTTCACACATTTAGCACTTTGTCAAGTTGCTATTTGTTCCTGTGGCTTATTGGACTACAGATACGTCAACCATTCAGGGACAACTGCTAAACTACATGACTGTTTGTATTACTTGTTAAATAATTATCGTATAAACAAATGTCAGCTGTCTCAACTCAGTTACCAGTGGGTTAAAATCCACTCTATGTGCCCTCTGCTGGACAGGTGTGATCAGCTTACACCTATCACACAGTTATAAACCTTACAAATATTTTCATTAGATTCTACATTAAACAACCATCAACCATTAATGTTTTTCTCCTTTTTTTTCTCTTCAAATGTGTTTAGAAAATGAAACATCGCATGATGATAAAAATTACCTTTTGAGCTAAAGTTAGCTAAAGAGCCATTGAGCAGTAAGTGACCCTCTAATCCTCCCCACCTCCATGTCTCCCCCACGCAAAATATAACCCAGGCTACAGCTGTAGGTTGGACACCACTGACCCTCCCTAATGTGATCACCATGTTGTCAAAACTTTCTTCTTGTTTTATTGTGGCAAATCAAGTTTGGTCTTTTATTATTTCTACTCCTTCATTTCCAGACCAATTCCCTCTTTTTTTGTGGCGACATTAAAGTTCCATTTCAGCTCAACACAAAAGCCGAAGCGAATGTCTCTCTGTCCTTTTCATGTCCCACGGTGTCTGTTGTACGTAACTGTGAGGGATACATTTTTGGTGTTTACCAGTAAATGGTAGAAAAATCCATGCAGTTGAACTGTACTTCAAATTCCTGTTATGTTCCTCTTACTCCATTTTTCTCTCCAATCATGGTCGCAGCAATGTCCCAGCCACAGCTGTCTTCAATTTTAGCCAACAAAGGGACCATGCAGGGGCAAGGGCATTAGTTTGACTTGGGAATAAAAAAATCCCTTCCTGCACTTATAATGTCATGGATTTCCTGTTTGTGTTGATACAAACATATTCATGCCGTTTGGTTTTACAATCGTCTCAAAATCTTTGATAAATGTTTAATTTGTATAATATGTATAATCAAATGTACAAAATTATATATAATGTATATGTTTTTCATAACTGTCGACAACTATTTCCCTATTGTGGGATAGTGAGAAAAGGTAATAAATGAAGTACTTTTTAACAGATGTACAAACTTGTTTTAGATTTTAATTCTTGAATGTTAATACAGTAATCCGTTCGCGGTAGTTGCGTCCCAAGACCCGCCGCAAAATGGGAAAAATCACGAAGCATTTGCGAGATAGTTTTATATTATTTACATA